TAAAGGCTGTCTTTTTCCTTTACTAACAACTCAGAGTTGTCTGCTCCTAGTTTACATTTAATAAAGTTTTCCTTTAATTAAGATACATGATAATGAAATGACTTCCTAACATTGCATATGTTACAATTATAATATCATTATACAATGTCTGGGAAAATGTATTCTCAATCCTAGAGAAGAGTAGTGTTTTACATTCCTCTACTTTTCAGTCTTATAGCCTGACTGGGATAAGGAAATAACCTCTTTCGTATACTTTGCCTAACCGGAATAATAAGAAGTTAAAGGCCTCAGTTTGAACAAATAACTACTTTTTCATCACTTAAGAAATTTAGTGGCTATCCTAATATCCTCATAATTTCTTTGTTTCAGTTATACTTCATTTAAAGGAGTGGAGGAGTCTGTACCATTGATTACTCTTTCTTTTACCAATGATATCATTGGAACACGTGATGTAACTAGTAGGAGCTTGTTTACATTCTGCTACCAATATGTTTCGTGTTGATCAATTACCTTTAGCAAAAGCTATGTCAATCTTGTGTCACTCCAAAATTTAGGGTCAAGCTGAGATAGGCAAAATTCCTCAAAGAACTCTGAAAAATGAGTGACTCTAAGAGAGTAGAAATAATGGAAAGAAAATTTTTTGGTTTAGGTTTTTGTTCACCTATCCATCCATTGCAAAAAACCTCTAGTTGCACTCTTGTTTCAGGAGATAGGTTTTTAGTATTGCACTATTGGTTTTTATTCCTTTTAGAACTTTTTTGTTGTAGGTAAAAAAGATATTTCTTGACTTTTCTTGGTTACCAGAAGTCAAGTTTTTGTTTGAAAAGGAGTATAAACAAGAAAGAGAAGTTGGGAGGAACTCTTGAAGATATTCTTCAAGTTGTTTTAGAGAAAGTAATAAGACTTTCTTAGCAGAAATATATAAAACTTTTTGTGAACATCTTTTTTATATGTTGTCAAGGAATCAGCGAAAAGAGTTTTGATCTTCTTCAACTGCTAACTTTATTGTCAGCAGATTAATATTATAGATATATTCAATAGTTTTTTCTATAAATATACTTTATTTTATTTATTTATATAAATTTGGTTATTTTATTATTAATTTTTTTAAAATAAAATACTTACTATTAATCATTTTAATTAGAAAACTTTTTTGTGAACAATTAAATATATCAGATATAAATTTTTTTATAATTAAATTATTTAAAAAATAATTGTTTTTATATTATTTAAAATATCAACATTTAAAGTTATATAAATATTAATATCAAAGGTTAAAAAAATAATTTTTAAAATTAATTTGCAATAGTAATTTACAAGCAATAATATTAATAGTTAAAAGAATCTTTATTTGAACTATTAATAAAATAACAAATTACTTCTTAAGTTGCACTTATAGTTTTAGAAAAATATAAAATAAATATAAATGAATTAGATAAAAATTTGACTTTAGCAAAATATTTTATAATATATAGTATTTAAATATTTAATAAAACATATATATCTAGTTTAATAAAAAAAATTTTTTTTAAAAATTTTTTTTAATATTTAAAACTTAAATATAAGAAAAAATTAAAAAAAATTAAAATTAAATTATTAAGATCTACTTTATTAATAAACTAATTTATTTTTAAAAATAAAAAATTATATCTATAAATTAAATAATTAATATTAAATTAAAGAAATAATTAAATTTAATTAAATATAATTTTTTTAAAAATCAAAAATTACAAATAATAATAATAATTCAAAGTAAAAAATTGATTAGTTAAAATTTATAAAACCTAAAAAATCTAAACTAGATCCTATAATAATTGTAGTTAAGATATTAAAATCTAAAAGTTAAATCAATTTAGAAAAATATTGAAAAATTTAAGTCTTGAAAAAAGTAATAAAAAAATCAAAATGATAAAGTAGATTCAAGTAACTATCAAAAATTATATAATTTATTTTAAAAGACTATATTCCCAATACTTCTTTTGCTTTGTAATAGTATAAGGACTTTTAACTTAGCAGTGATAGTAAAAACTTTTATTAATAAAAACTTAATATTGCAAAAAACCTGCTATCAACATTAGACTCTGAACTCAAGCTCATGTAAAAACCGGTTTAAAGGCGATCTAAGCTGCACTCGAGCGACGGAAAATAATTAAGCTAATGCACATCATCAGTGATAAAAAAAAATAGTTTACGTAATTCAATTTTAATCCAAATTTGGAGTCGATAGGTTAAAATTGACCAACTAGTCGCACAAATTCAGGTACTTCTTACTCTTTTTTTTTTAAAAAAAAATGTCGAATTTTAAAACATTGTGTAAAATCAAGACCGAATTTGGTGGGGTCGAGTTAACTAAGTTGAAATCCAGCAAGACCGGGTTATCGGTGGTGCTGGTTGGTGTTGAAGGTAAGAATTTTTCGTGCTTTGTAATTATTAAACTTTTAATTTAATGGGTTTTCTTAATTTTGGGAATTGAATTTATTCGATAGCTCCACTTGTTAATGGATATTTTACAGTCGTCACCGAAGGTAATATAATCAATATTGTGGTTATCCAATGCATGGAAACTAATCATTCGGACATCTGATCCGAAATTAATATAGCTGTCGACGATAATGGATGTCCTCATACTTTGGAGCAGTAAGTAAATGAAAGTTTTCTAAAATGGTTCAGATGTTTTTATGGAATTCTAGTTGTTAACTGGAATGATTTGATCTCAGCTTGGTTTTTCTCGGAAGCGAACTGTATCCTTACAAGGTATGGAAAATTTTTGACAGAATTTGATTTCGAATCATTGTATAGAAATTATTCCCATGGTTTCATATGTAATTTTAATGGTATCAGGGAGTTTTAGATTCATTGGCGAACCGCGCGCTAGCTCGAGGAACGAATGCGTGGACGGCAGTCGATCACACATGTTACACCATCACAACTGCTGGAAGTAAAGGCTTCTTAAACCTGCTGCCAATATTTGTGGATCATATTTTGTATCCTACTTTAACCGAAAGTGGTCATTATACGGAGGTGTGGGAAAAATTGCTTTGTATACACTGAATATACTTAAATATTAAAATGGTCCTGCCAACTTATTCGAAGGTTCATCATATAAATGGAAAAGGAGAAGATGCTGGTAGGCCGTTTGTAAAATCAAGTTAAATTGCTACATTTAAAAAGAAAATAGAATAATAAAGTAAATTTGTTTGTAACTTCTAGGGGTATATTAACTTTCAAGGACTTTCTTTTTCTTAATTCAACTTGACTTATTAAGAAGTTGATTTAAAATGTTCATCTTCTTTGCAGGTTGTCTACAGTGAAATGCAGGTAAGGCATTATTATATTCACTGGCACCCTTTTTTTATCGAACTTTTGCATAACTTCTTTAATTCAACCTATACAGGGTCGTCAGAACTCCTGTGATAGTTGTGTTATGCTGCGGTAATGAGTTGTTAACACATTCGTTATCATTATATGATGAGTAAATAATGATCGCTCGTTATGCTCGCATTGTTTAGATATCAACGATTGATGTATCCTGAGGGATGTGGATATCGAAGCGAAACTGGCGGATTGATGGAAGCGCTTCGTAAACTTAATGTCGAGACAAGTAAGTTGGTTATTATGTTTTCTCTATATTTTTTCATATTTTTCAACAAGTGACATTTTATTCTATTTTATGTAATAGTTCGCAAAGTGAGTATTTAGTTATGCAACATACCATTTATTGTTTTTATCACATTGCACTAATTATACGTTTTCAAACTTATTCACCTTATAGTACCACGCTGATTACTATAGGCCTGATAATCTCTGCTTAATAATTACGGGAAAATTGGATCTAGATGCATTATTGAAAGTTCTCGAGCCGCTTGATGAAAGGATTGCTGCAAAGGGAGCATTGCCTCCTCATCCGCGGTGACATAAATTTCTAGATTAATAGTTATCTTGAACATTCACGGCATCGTTCATTAATTGCTAATTGCTATATAGGCCGTTTGTGGACTCATTGCCGGTCCCGCCGTTGGAGAAATCCATACAGGAAGTAGTTGAATTTCCTGACGAGGATGAGAGTATGGGTCAAGTTCTAATTGCTTGGTTAGGACCTTATATTCATGTAAGAATTTTCCTTGATTAATCAATGCCTGGATACCACCTAATTACTCCTTAGTAAAGTTTTTATAACATTACCTATTCACATGCACAAAAGCATGATACGATGACTAATAATTTGTTAAATTGTTTCAGGAATATTTAGATATCAAAGCTTTAGAAATATTACATGAGCAAGTATATTCTCATTTTAATTAGATTGTATAATTATCAATTTTGTATACTGAATTCTTTGATATTAACTCCAATTTTTCATTAAACTTATCAAAATTAGATACTTATCTGATTCGGCGGTGTCAGTTTTGCAAAAAGAGTTTGTTGAAATCGAGGACCCTTTATGTACAGGTAATTATTTCTGAACTCTTATTAATAATAAGCGTTATTTTGCACGAATTTTTTTCCAAAAAAAATAAAAATAATAATAATAATAATAATAATTTGAAATTAAATCAATTATCAAAAGATATCGACATTTCGATCAATGAACAAACTCGCACGGCTATATTGGCATCTTTTGAAAATGTCCCAGCCGAAGAGCTGGAGGATTTGACCAAGGAAGTATTTGAAGTGATGGAGAGGATTGTGAAGGAAGATGGAATTGATATGGAGCGCATGAAAATTGTTATATCGAGAGATCGATTAAAGGTAGTTGATTAGTTAATAGTCGATTCGTGTGGCGACTATAAGGAATGTTCTTATTGATCTTTGCCTTCTTTTTGTTTGTAGACGTTAAATGAGATCGAAAACAACCCGCATAACATATATTCCGAAGCATGCATTATTGGTGCATTTAATCGTAATTTTATTTTCATGTTTATGCTTATTTACAAACATATTAACAAGGATGGTTATTATAGATCACATGTATGGAAAAGAGGATTGCTCGGATTTAGAGAAAGCCGTTAAGGATTTAAGATATTACGACGAGATCATGAATTTTAGCGAAGAGAAATGGATAGAATATCTGAAAAGGTCTGTTTTTTTTTTTCTTTCAAGAATTTGATCATGGATTAACTTTAAAAGATTTTTCTATATCCTTTTGCCTTCAAAACAAAAGATTTTACATCGATCAACCTCACGTGGCCATTCTCGGTCACCCTTCGTCAGAATTTGCCAAGAAGCTTTACGCCGATGAAAAACAACGCATAGAAGAACAATGTAAAACATTAGGGCCGCAGAAACTAGAAGAGCTCGATAGAAAATTGAAAGATGCTAAATTGGCGAATGAAGTTCCGATACCTGATGAGATTATCGGCAAGTGTTTACGGGAAGCCATTATAGATCATACTGTGATTTTTTGAGCGTTGTGGCGATAATTCTACATTTTGATAACCACGGTGATGGTTTTTATATCATATTTAAAGATGGCTTCCCGGTGCCGGGTGTTGAAACCATACCGTTTATTAATGTCATTACGGGGCGTAATAAGTCCGAAGGAAGATTGTAAGCTTTTTTTATTATAATGCGGTAATTCTGCATGATCTCATTTTTGACTAATTTCCTTGAAGTAATAATGCAGTTCAAGAATATCTTGATAGTGATGTCACATCAAAAGATTTGCCATATTTTATTCAATATGATCGTAAGTTAACAGAATGTGATTTTCAATCAATATGTTAACCTTTACAATGACATCATGCCCTTAAACATAGACGTTGATTCTTCATTCATAACAATAACGATATATGTTACCACCACCACAATTCCGGCGGAGCTACGCCCCTATCTCGAAATTTATATGGAATCATTCTTCAGTCTTCCATTGAATGTTGAAACAGAAGACGGTGAACGTAAACAATTAACGTATGAAGAAGTTGTATCAGAACTGAATAAGGATACAGTGTCATACACATATTCGTTGGGTGTGAATGGATCGTTCGAGGAGATGGTATGCCTGCAGATTAAAGTCGAGGTATTTAATAATTCCATGCAAATAATATTATTTGATCCTAGGAGGTATTTTCTAATGAAAATAAATTATTTTTTTTATCAAGGCTAGTAAGTACGAAAATGGTATTCGATGGTTGCGTAACTTGTTATGGAATACCGAATTTACGGCCGAAAGGTAAAGAATTTATTGCATTTTATGCAAGCAATGTTTTGGCATCCTAAAAGAGACTAGGTACTTATCTATCTTTACTATAGGCTTAAAATCTGCGCCACAAAATTATTTAATGACATACCGCAATCTAAGCGTGATGGTTATAGCGTATGTTATACTTGAATTTTATTAGTTCGTCGAATCTTGCTGGTTCTTATTCTTCTTTATCTTGCTTCTCATCTTTTATTTCACGATCAGATGTCTGCGACAGTATTGCAACTTATTCACTACGATCCTGCCAAATCAAACAAATACGCATTGTCCGTTCTGAACCAAGAAAAGGTCCTACCGAACACCATTCAGTTGTTGGATGACGACCCTGATAGAGTGATCGAGGAGTTTTATCGGCTCAGAAAGATCTGTTTGTATTGTTGCTAAATACTTTCGTAATTAAATAGTTTTTTATCCCGTTAACATATTTCCTAATTAATTACTTACTATAGTGACCTCACCGGAGAACTTTAGAGTTCATGTGATTGGTGACATCTTAAAGTTAAATCAACCGAAGACTAGTTGGATTGATAATTTTAAGATCATTCCTGTATATATTTTTCAATTTATTATTATTCCTTTTTATTTGTAATGACAAAATTTTTTTATTAATTAATCGTAGGATATAAAACATTTATCCCCTGTTCCATCAGCACGGGATGTGCTAACCGAGTACGGACGTCACCCCGGTAATAAGGTCGGTATTAATTTAAGATCATATTTTGAAATTTTGTTTACGCAAGACACCTTATAACGGTGATTTTTTGCATGCTAATGGCTTTATAATCAATTAATCTTTTTAGGGATATGTTATAGAATTATCGGCGATTGAAAGTACCTTTGCTATTTTAGCAACAAATGGTAATACTAATTATTCAATATATCGAATAGATGTGAACTTTCCTTTTCTACACTACAAAAGATCAGATCAAATTATACGCAAATATAAGTAATGCTTATACATTAAATGAAAAATTTTTCATTAAAATAGGTCCGACGACATATGACTCTCCGGATTTAGCACCTCTATTGGTGTTGTGCGAATTGTTGCATACAATGGAAGGAATATTCTGGAGATTGATACGTGGACAAGGACTGGCTTATAGTGTTGGACTAAAGGTCGGCGTTGAGTCGGGTATGTTAGTTTAGGTTTTTATATTGGATACCTATTCAAGAGTCACTTATATATTTTTTATCACAAGGTCACATCTACCTTACCATATATCGGTCGCCTGACTCTTACAAGGCTTACGATCAAGCAAGACAGGCTGTCCACGATTTAGCTGAGAGAAAGGTTCTTTATTTATCTATTTATCTTTCAGTTCAAATCTTTGCACGAATATCTCACATCTGCGATTATTTTTCCCCGTGTACCGGTGTTTGACAGATCGAATTCGATAAATCCGGATTAGATGGTGCAAAGTGTGGAGTTATTTATGGCTTGGTTAAGAGTGAGGTAATGAAAATTGGTTAACCTTTTAATTATGAATTTTATTTTAATTTTTTTCGTTATATTACTTAGAGTAATAATCAAAGAGCGGTAAGTTCTTTAAATATAGTTATTGTCTTCAATATGTTACATACCTTATTTGCGATGTTATCGACATTCTATATTATATTAAACTAGGCAAGTGAATCATTTGCATTGCAAGTTTTGAAAAATGTAGATCCCACATACAATAGAATATTAATTTCTAAAGTTCAGGTATTTGATTTTGCAATGTATTTCTCTGTTTTATGAATTATCATTTAAATATTCGATATTTTTTCGGTTGCAGGATGTAAATATTGATGATCTTTACGAGATGCTTTCGAAATACATCATCAATTTATTCTTACCTGGAAGTTCGAGCGTCGTGGTCGTTTCCGCGCCCGGTAAAGTTGAGGTAAATATACTGTATATTTGATGTTTTGGCTCATGGTTCGTTTATTTAATAGTCAAAATGGATTTTTTTTTAAAAAAAAAACAGGATGTCCGAGAGGGGTTTAATTCTCATGGATTTAAACTAGATGTCAAGAATCTAAATGATGTTCTAGAATAAAAGGGATAAGACTTTTTAAAAATATTTCGAAGATATTGAACTCAAGTAAATTAATTACATTAAAATTTAAAATTTTAATGAGGTCATTCGGAAATAAATAATGTAGAGCATGTTAAAAAAACATGCTATATATTGGATCCTAAGATAGTGTCGACGTTGACATGCAAAATAAGTAAAAGTTTAATCTATCTTGAGATATTATATTTGTTATAATTTTTTTACTATTATTAGAATATTTCTATTATCATAATAATAATTATTATTTTTAACTTTTTTTCATAATTGTTTTCTTTAGTAATTTTACAATAAAATATACAGTATATATATATTTTTTAACCTGCAAATCACGCCACAATGGCATGTCTTTATTGAGATATTGAAAGATATCACAATGTTTATAGACCTTCACAAAGCAATTAACCCATCATTGTACATTATTAGTTGAAGAATTATACTACTTAAAAAATATAAGGAGTCTATTAAACTATTTTGAACTAAACAAAACTAAGTCTAAACTAGATACTCTAAGTCAAATTTAGAAGACAATATTATGTTTTCTTAGTAGCTTGGCATAATAATGCCTTTAAGTTAATTAGGATCAATACCAATAGTTTGTCATTGTGATTATTCTGAAAAATTATAAATTACTAAAATTGATACTAGAAAAAAAAGAGAAAAGGAAATACAATTTAAAGCCTTTCAAAAGATTTTTGCTCAATTTTACAATTTACTCTTGAAAGAAGTTTATCTAATTGAAATATTTTCTAAGTTTCATAATGTTTGAGGAATTTAACCATTCCTAAAAATGATTTCAAGAAAAACATTTAAGGAACTTATTCTTTTATTAATATATAAATTTGCTTTAATGCTACTGAAGATAACATAATATTATAGAAGAGTTACAATAAAATAAAATATATAATAGTTGAGCTTTTTTAATTGATTTTTTATAATTAAATATAATATGTAAAATTTTGTATTTTTATTTGCTTTAATTCTACAATATAGTTAAACTTTTCTAAATGATTTTTTATAATTATTATATTATATAAATATTTTATCACAACAACTCTTTCCACTGATCCTCTGACCACACACAAAAAAGACATTCACAAGAAGTTTTCATACTTCTATGTTAATAAAGTCTTAATACTTTTCTTAAACCAACTTGAAGAAACTTCAAGAGTCATTACCACTTTCCTCCCTTCTTGTCAATATTTCTCTTTGAACAAAAACTCGACTGCTAGTGACCAGAAAGTCAAGCAACACCTTTCCTACCAAGGGCAAGAAAGTTCTGAAAGGAAGAAGAACTGATGTACCATCATTTCACATTGTAGAGAAATACCACAAAGTCTTTGAATAATGAGAGACAACTTTCCCACTCTCTTGTCATCATATTTACTTCTCATAGTACTTATTCTTGATTTTTTCTGGGGGATTTTGTCTACATCAGTTTGACCCTGAATTTTGAGTAGCACAAAGTTTCTTACACCGTGATTGGACAGAGCTCACATTAGTAAAAGAAGTAAACAAGCTCCCATTGATCACCTCACGTGTCTGAATGCATTTCCTCAGTACCTATAAGAACCTGGGATCCATCATAAGTTGCATACCAGTCACATGGGTAGATACAAAACATGAAAACTATGATGTCATTGGCTATACTAAAAGAACAAGGCTGGATTAGATTACCTTGGATAGATAATAACCTGACTCCCTTATTCCTTCTCCAGCAAACACAACCATTATACTCCGGGTTAGTATCTTTTTGGAAGGTTTTGATACTCCCATCCACTTATTAAAACCACTTATAATGATCAATTAGACAACATTATGTCCCTCTGGACTTGACTCAACTTAAACACAACCATTTTTTCTTTTTAAAATTTTTGGTTAAGTGCTAGTAGAGTTAAGGCTCCACATGGATAGTCCTCAACATCAGTAGTGTTAGGTACCCCAGGTGAATCCTTGGCACATTAATCTCCTCTTTTTGGGGTAACAATAAGCCATTCGATGGATCGGCCAATAGCTATGCTCTAGGGAGTATCAAGGTAGAGAATAGAAAATTAACATAGTATGACTTTCATGTTCCCTGTTTTTTCGTAGTTTGTTTTTGTAAGTAGATACCTATACTAGATGGTTATGTAACCATCTTATCCTTGTTGTGTGAGACATAAATAGTTAGTTCTCTATACTATTTATTGATCTATAAATTCTTAGACAGTATGGATAGTTATTTATTCCAGTTGTCCCTAGATCTTTTGCCTATTAAAATAAATCTCGTTCACCTCGATGTATGGATGAGCTAGCATTAAAAAAATATATATATATATATATAATATTTTATTTTTATTTGCTTTAATTATATAACTATTTTTTTTTAATTTTTAAATATAGTTTTTCTATTGATTTCTTATTATTAACAAATAATATTGTCAACCTATCCAATTCACCTCTTAGAAATTAGATAGAGACAGAGAACTAGTGTAGGGAAATATCAAGTTAGACTTCTAATGTGATATGCAAAAGTTCATAATTTGAACAATAA